GATAATAATAATATGTACTAATATATATAATTATATATATTTATTTATTTATTTATTTATTTAAGTATATATATATATATATATCAAGGTAACTTTAATCAAATGAAACATTCTTATTGCAACTGATTCCGAAAAAAAAACCAAAAAAAAAAAAAACAATAAAGTACATTGAACAGGAAAACATTCTAAATATTCAAATTGCAATTGTGATTAATATTTAATTACGTAATTCTTAAAAATGTTATTATAGTTATTGATTATAATATAAGTATAAAAATTATTATTATTATTTTTATTTATTTCTATAAAAGTATAACAATTATATGTAATCCTACGTGAGTTTTGAGCATGAACTTGAGACTGTTGGCTACCTCTTAACACTGAACCAGTACATGTACATAATATATTTTATGATAATTTTATAGCATATATATGAATATATATATATATATGTATATATATATATATATATATATATATATATATGTGGGTGTGTGTGTGTGTGTGTGTATGTTTAATGTCTAAAAGCTTTACAGTACAGTTGAAATGTTTCAACGAACATCCAGCATTGATCTGATAGGGTTTACATGCATAAATGCATTATAAAGAATGTTTTGGTCTTATCTTGTACAAATCAATGTACCGTAGGTCTATCTTATTTACATTGCATGTCTTGATACAATTAAAATACAAAAATACTTTAAGCCTATAGCTTGCATCAATCAGTTGAATAACTGTATGCACAGTAGGTCTACAATGGTCGTAACTGTTTTGTATGGGTCTAAAGAGACCTAAGGAAATGATGAGGAATATTAAGAGGCCTCAATCGAGAAGAATATTGTAAGGGCTAGATCCACGCATTCGAGAGAGACTGAAAAAAATAAACCACCGGACTACATATTATGCGGGTAATTGAAAGAATGGTCTTCAAACGTTTTCATGAAACTTAGAAAATACAGTACAGTATTTTCAATGGTAGAGTGAGAGGGATGAGAGAGCAGGAGAAAACTGATAACCTCAACAAAGAGATCCGGATCCACCGTCGTACCGTGAATGAGCCCTCCGCTTTATATTTACGTTCTCTCAAAATACGTGTGCAACTGTATGACGAACATGTTTTATTCTGTCATATAACTGTTATCTGCTGCGCGCAACGTTACAAGAATTCAATAGATGACACATGCACTGGAATAATTTTACCGGTGTGTTCATCTAAATATAATCAGTGGGACCACGTTAGCTGCTATTAAATATCATGGACCAAGTATCTTTCGCACACGTATCATTTTGTACTATTACAGGGCATTGCAGCGAAATAATACTCTCACCAGCATTATGATGATTAACACGTGCAAGGATGCGTCTGCGCACATATTTCATTCTCAGGCGCGTGCTGTTCTATCCTTCCTCGATCTAAATAGAAGCTGCCTAAATTTACTAAAAAAACAAAGGCTAACTACACCATGATAACAAAACAAACCCATTCTCGCGGGTTCGTGCTTCTAATTTTTTTTTATAAACTTTCTTTTTTCAGTAGGACGCTTTTGAATCTGTTTTCCTTTGTAATACCTACTTAGATCTGCTTTTAAATAATTGATAAGATTCTAAAGCGAGAAACATAGCTTGCAGTGAACATCAATATTCCTTGCGGGTGACAAGACGTGTATGCCGCGAGGAGGGAAGTGTGAACGTGTGGTTGTTTCATGTGAGGCTTAACGGCAGGTGGATTGTCAGGCGGATCGGTACAGCGATACTCTATGTATCTTTACAACCACGATTATGGTACAGAAAGGTTGAAACACAAAGAGTAATTATTCTGTCAGGGAAGGCAAAGATCAAGGCAAAGCAATGTCTACTTCTCTAATTTTTGTAATCGTTAAATCCCTTCGATGAATGTAGTACAATCGAAAAAACTTCGTGCATTTTGGTCGTCTAAATGATTTGGCGTCATCCGGTTTTAACGCACGCACTCACACACATGGACCGGGGTGCACAGTCCAACAGAAAGATATTGGTCATATGTACATCACTGCTATTGCAAAGTAAGCAAGTAGATAAAACACCGGGCTTTGTTATATTTTATAAAGGTAAAACCATAAAATACAATATAAATACACAATTTGTGTTCTAGACCCAGCTGTTCTTGTAGTACAGCGTATAACGTTACTGTTATTCACGCATAAATGTATAGGCCTAGAAATAATAGAATTGCAATCAAGATCGGTATTTATATTAGGCGTTGTGCATGTTGGGTGTACGGAAATATAAAAATAGAAATTAACTAAACTATGGGGCTTCAATGATTAATTTAACATAGAACAGTATGAAACAAAGTCAGAAAAAGGTGATACCTGTCTCTTATACACATCTAGATGAAGCTGCTCTCCCACTACAAGAGGATGACTTTAAAATTCCCAAGCATTTCAGAAGAACTTCAATTTCTAAGTCTGTCAACAACTTTAACCTACTTGAACAAAGTTTGTCAAACAAGATTAGAGTACAAAGTAAAGACAAACACCAAAATACAACTTAAAGGTGTCAAAAGTCTATTTAACGTCCTAACTGCTTTTTAAACAAGTACTTGCAAACGTAATACATCTCCGTACGTTTCAGTATATTCTAGTGTTAACAGATTCCTGTAAAACACAGCCCAGGGGGAAGTAATTATTCCCGGGGGAAGGCATTGTGTGTGGGTACACGGTCAATCTTACCATGTCCTTATGGCTATACTATTATAATAGTTTAATAACAGTCGGGACAGACAGTGTCACTTAGTTTGTCATACTGTAATTATGATTTATCTCTTTTGTGGTGCTAAGATGTATTTAAGGGGCAATAGCAAGCCCATATATTATTATTATTATTATTATTATTATTATTATTATTACTATTTTATTATTAATATTATTATTATTACTATTATTATTATTGTTATCATTATTATTATTGTTGTTGTTGTTGTTATTATTACTATTACTATTATTATTACTATTATTATTATTATTATAATTATTATCATCATCATCATCATCATCACCATCATAATCATCTAAGATTTTACAGAGAGAGAAGCAGCGGTTCCATTTTTTCTTAAAATAATTTCAATAATTCTCACGCTTAAAGGCAACAGGTGCATTTTTTTTCCCGATTACACCAAGTATTGGATAAAGTTAACATCCAATCTAAATTGTATAATAGATTAAGCTACCAGACCCAATACGACACACAATAGTCTAATTTTAAATAATTGAAGTCTAGTATCACCAAAAAAGACATTCAATTTTTAATAATTTGCAACATTTTCAGATTAAAATCCTGTTTTCACATTAATATGTAAACATTCCCCCACAGGAAAAAAATGGTTAATTCATTTCATAATGAGGCGTTCTATACGTGTTTGACTGCTCCCAGGCAGTTTATTGCAATATGAGCTATATAAATGGCGCACTATATTATTATATCGTTAAATCTCTGTATTGTATCTATCTTGTACTGTATTTCTGTGCATGTTTGGTATCCAAAATAATATTCTGATGAACGACAAAACAATTTGAAACATTTTCACTGCTATTGCAAAGTAAGCAAGTAGATAAAACACCGGGCTTTGTTATATTTTATAAAGGTAAAACCATAAAATACAATATAAATACACAATTTGTGTTCTAGACCCAGCTGTTCTTGTAGTACAGCGTATAACGTTACTGTTATTCACGCATAAATGTATAGGCCTAGAAATAATAGAATTGCAATCAAGATCGGTATTTATATTAGGCGTTGTGCATGTTGGGTGTACGGAAATATAAAAATAGAAATTAACTAAACTATGGGGCTTCAATGATTAATTTAACATAGAACAGTATGAAACAAAGTCAGAAAAAGGTGATACAAGCCATCATTGATTTTATATTTCGAACTTCATTCTTAAAGATTAACGAATAAAGTTATAGAATCAATAATGGCTTGTATCACACAAAACTAACTAAAATGATTATCTTACCTTTCGTAGTCGTTCTTGCAATATAGTTTTCGGTCACGTGAGAAGCAGGAATGGGTGAGTTGTTGTTGACAAACATAACATTGTAAACAACTTTCATGCCAGCTATTTTCCATTACTTTCATTAGGTACCTGTCTTCGATGGCACTTTGGCAGCCTGTACACACCTCTTTTGTAGGTTTCGTACCGTTCACTACAAAGAAGAATAATTTATTTGTAGAAAAACAAATATTTGCTATATATTACAGTTCAAGTAGTCGTAAGTGTTTCGGATTATAATCAAAGGAATTGAGTTATATGAATATCATTATAATTCATTTCAGGAACGTGTAGTATATTGGATAATGAACAATGACAGAAGATAGAAGATTATGCTAATGAAGATGATGATAATTTACATTAATGGTGATTGTAATGACGACGACGATGATGATGATGATGATAATGATGATTGATGGTGGTGGGGGTGATGATGATGATGATGATGATGATGATGAGGACGATGATGATGATGATAATAATAATGATGATGATGATGATGATGATGATGATGATGATGATGATGATGATGACGACGATGATGATGATGATGATGATGATGATAATGATGATGATGATGATGATAATGATGATGTTAGTGATTACGATAAAAATGAATTTGGTGATGATCGCGAAAGTAACAAAATGATGATGATGGTAACAACAAAACATTAGAATGAGAAAAATGGGAAATGACCATGTATGATTGAAATAGTGATAATGAGGAGGTAAAAGAAGATGAAGCGGATGATAGTGACGACGACGAACGACAATTGTCGTCGATCAACAGACACTATTGGATCAGATTGTGCCTGTTACTTGGCTTATACTTTTTCCAAAAGAAAAACTGATCATACAACTAGGCCTACCTACTCCATCAAACACAAATCTGTCTATGGCCGCTTTAGTGTCACCGATTTTATCCTTCACTTATCATATTATAACTTATGTTTAATTAATATAATATGGGTAGATTCAAACAATGCTCCATTCGTGTGCATTGTGTAAGCCCATGACAAAATACATAGCAGGTCTATAAAATTTCCAAGTAGATCGTAATGTGTTAAGTCTGGGACTGCGTCCCATCCTACTATATACAAGGGTAGTGTATTATTACAGAAAAAAAAATTAAATAAGTGAAGACGTTGTCAAATGTAATTAAATAGGAGTAATCATAACTGAACTTGTGATATTTAAATGTGATTTTGGTGCATTTTATAAACAAAGTCGAACGAGACAAGATCAAAGACGTACGTTTATGACATCGATATGGCGAGGAATATGTAATAGTTCGTATTGATACATTCAAGACGGAATATTATGATAAACAAAAAACGGCATATCATAAGTTGGATATCCATCAATGTCATAATATTTAAAGCCCTGGGTAAATTGAATTAGGTCTTAATCTAAGTAAGAATAAATATTGATACGTGTTCCATCAGGTGAATCCATGAATTGTTCGTTGGTTATTTTCATGAACGCACTAACATTATTACAAAAAAAAATACATGTTTCTCCTGACGCAAATCCAGTTATTGTCTATTACATCACGACAATAACAATTACTATTAACACTGCAGTACCCGCTGCTTACTGGGACTCGAATTCAACCCTGACCATCAGGCGCAAGCTGGGTGGTCTAGAGGTATGATGCCAGGCTGGTGATCTGGAGACCGTGGGTTCGAGTCCCCTCCGAGAACAACTTGTTTTCAAATGTATTGAGTATTCAGTACATTTCCACGTCAGGTAGGGCAAAATTACACCTATACATGTTTCTCCTGACGCAAATCCAGTTATTGTCTATTACATCACGATAATAACAATTACTATCAAAAAATAATAAATAAAAATTATTATTATTATTATTATTATTATTATTATTACGGTATTATAACCTTTACCCTTATTATGATATATTAGTGATAATAATACAGTAATATTAATTGTTATTATAAATTAAATAATAATTAATAATAATGACAATGATAATGGCAATTATTATAATGATAGTAGTAGTAATACGGTAATATTAAAATTAATTACAACAATAATATTAAATAATAGTAATCATAATAATAGGCCAAATTATTTAAAAATATTAATAGTTTATTAACATTTTATAGTAATTTTAATAATAATAATAATAATAATAATAATAATAATAATAATAATAATAATAATAATAATAATAATAATTAGAGAGAACCAGCTTACCTGTGGGTGGTGAAATAGGATATTCATCCGTCATGGTTGTCCCTTCGAGCTTCATTGATAAAAGTCGGAACAGCTGATCCTAAAAAAAAAATACATGATTCGTTGGAAAAGGGATACAGGCGTACAGTATATATGACTGATATGCATGGACTGTGAGTAAAATTCTATGGGCTATGTATTTTTTGGAGATCTTGTAATGTAGTTAAAAGCCTAATATGTGTTATATTTATTTACATAATTATTATTCAAACCCTTTTCTATACTAGGCCATCTGATGACTATCGACATATTTATCTGTGTTATACTAGCACAATTCAGCGCAGAATAAAGTTTGAAATCAGTTACTTCAACCATTGTGACAGATTTCTCATTATTATAAGCGTCAATTATATATATATCTGTCTCTTATACACATCTAGATGTGTATAAGAGACAGGTGTTTATTTTTGGTCAGCGTCCTTTGATGTGACCCATAGTGGACAGTGCAACCACTGCGTGAAATCTCTGACCACAGGGCATGTAGACATCTCGGACAGTTGCTCCAGTATTTTGGTTTATAGACATGAGTATCAATCTCGTGTTTTAATGCCCGAGACTTAAAAGAGTTTCACTATCCTCTATTCTAAACACAACGTTTTAAAGCGGCAAGTCTGCGAAGTCGGTGATCGAACGGTCGTCTCTGATTGGTTGGAAATACACACATGTGACTTTATTTTCTTGATTGAAATTTATCACATAATATCAAGGCAACATTGTGAAAATAAAAAATAAACCACAATATTAGGGTGTTTGCAAAAGCTTACCTAACAAGTGGAAATTAAAGTGAAAAAAACCCCCAAATTTAGCAAAATGTTGTTGAATTGTGAAATACCGTAAATGAGGGATACTAGTTATCTAATTACATTGTTGTTAGGCAATTGTTATAACATTTACATATATTTATTTTATTATAAAATTAGTTTTGACAATATGTAACGCGGGCGAACGTAGTATGTAGTAGGCTAATAGTAGTAGCAGCAGCAGCAGCGGCGGCGGCGGCAGCAGAGCAGCGGCGGCGGCGGCAGCAGCAGCAGCAGCAGTAGCAGTAGTAGTGGTAGTAGTAGTAGTAGTAGTATTAGTAGTAAAATTAGTAGTATAGCAGTAGCAGCAGCAGTAGTAATATCGATTCTTTCTAAATCGCAATCATTGATTGAAACTACATTTTTCAATTGGTTTGCCCCAAGGTTTGATTCGCGACCTTTGGTGTGTGCACTTGTATTCATCATCAGCTATACAAATATTTTGATCAATAGAAAGACATTGTTTATACATTATACTATCTAATTCCGATATATTCTACTATGGTTCTACTAGATTTATATCTATTACTATCATAGTATACTACATCATCTTACACACACTTAGATGTATTACAATCGTGTTGTCTCATAACCATAATTTATATAACAGTAATTTTAAATAATAAGATTTATTAATTTTAATTTTTTTTTAATATTATTAAAAATATATTAATAACAATATTAATAGTATATTATTAATAATATTAATAATATTATTTTTATTACTGCATCAATATCAATATTATAATTATCATCATCGTAATTAAAATATGTTTAATATTTTTATTATATCAGGTTAGATTTGATTTTATCCAGCCTCATATTTCCAGTTACATGTAGGCCTATGTATTTTAAGCCCATATTAATTTAAAAATTTAGTGCTACACTGGTAACATAGTTTCTCTTAAATTGCGAAAATAATGAGTCCCAACTAAAATAATATAGAGTAAAACCCTTTTACCTTTTTGAGCTTGTTCTTATTATTTATTCCAGAATCAAGTTATTACATTAATATTATTAATAGTAATATGTTCTTTTTTCATACTGATAATAATTTTGAGTAGGCCTAATTAAGCAGGCGTGAATACTATACTATCGATAGGCATAATTATCTATTATTCTGTATTTGGTTTTCCAAACAGTAATATAACTAGAATAATGATTATTATTTACTGTCAAGGAAATTGACCTACAATTAATATAATGTCCTTTTAAAATGATTACGATTTACTATAAATTGAATTTTTAAATTAATTTTTAGAAATATATTATTTGACCTATAAAGAAGTGTAATTTATTATTTAGGCCTACATACTACGGATAGTCGCCCTGTGTGCAAACTAAATAATGACATATTCTGTAAAACGACAGTAGTATAATGATGAACTTGCTAAACCCTGTCCAGACTCTTAAATCTTATTTGAAAAAAAAGTGGAATGCCTTGACATAGTCATGATGTGCCTATATATAGTCATGATATGACGTCATCATAACAATATTTAGGTATGTCACATATTTTGTCAAATGAAATTGGTAGTCTGGGTAGAGCTTATGGATTTGTAGCCATGGAGGCATTACCAAAACCCAATTCCAAAAGATGAATCAGTATCTTAGAAATAGAAACAGATTGCCCCGCTATGGTCAACCATTATACTGTAAAACCTTGAATTGAAGCCCAATGGGCGTAATCTCGTTTTGAATCCCCCTCTTCAGTTTGTAAAATTAGCCTCGAAAAGAAGCCCATCTCTGAAAAGGAGCTTTGGGCTTCTTTTCAAGATAGCGTAGGCTTCTTTTCAAGATACCGTAGTAGTAACATACACTGAACATGAATTTCAAAGCAACAACATAAATTAAAAACACGCTTGGTTTATACAGTAGTTTAGGTGATTTAATGCCGGTTAATACACTCCATGATACAGATGATGTTACAGTGGCCCTATTTATATTTTTATAGTATAATCCCGAAAATTTACATCATTCATTTTGAAAAGAAGACCCCCTTATTTACTTTGCAAAAGTGGCCTGGGAAAGAAGCCCATCTCGTATGCCCATCAAGGTTCGCAAAAAAAAAAAAAAAAAAAAGAAAGCCAAGGGCTTCAATTCGAGGTTTTACGGTATTGTGTCCGCATTACATGCATTCAATTTTAGGCGAATGTACTGCAGAGGCATTGTACTGTATATCGGCTAATATAGAGAGTAATACGAATCCTATTGAGACGTGTGGTTTTGATAAGAATGTTAAAGACAATATTCTCGTAACAATATCAAAAGTTAAAAGTTATCAAACAAAGACTGATTGATATTAATGTAAATAAGCAAGTAAAGTCATTGGGTCATATTATCAGAAAGGATAAAATACAAAAACAGCCCCTAGAAGAAGATTGACGGATAGGCCTATAGCCTTACAGGCAGATCAAGACAAAATTAACAGCATCTTTATATATGGAGAGGCGTGAAGTACCATGTTGCTTTGTGTAGAATGGTTATAGAACGTGAAAGTGAATTAATGAGATTTAAATAACTATAAATTATACAAATATGTATCTTGAATGTATAAGATCGTTAACAATATCAATAAATAAGATTAATTTTATTAACAGCACAACCTAAGTCAAGATAGTGGATAAGGCTGATGTTATCAAATAATCTAAGTTCTGTTTTCGGTTTTATTGTTAAACACCTACTGTTCTATATAGCCTAGACTAACACAGATCTTAATTTCCTACGTCAAATTTTACATTATTATAAATTCATCATTTAAAATTAGGCCTACACTTTATTTCATCATGGAACTTGTTTAAGTTAGCTCGTCATTTGAATGGCAGGGTTAAAAAACGATATAAGTTTATTTTCTTTTTATGTGAACTAATGTGATCTTTTCAGTTGTTTTTTCTTTCTCTTATACGAGTTTCAATTCTAATCTCACACCACCTCAGGCTATTAGAATCTTTTAAGTGGAAGTACTTAAAACGCACTCGTCTTAATCAACACCAACACAACATGAAATTATGTGCAAAATGTTAATCAGCATTAGGCATAATATGGATCGTGTACTTTTAAGAACATTGAGCAAAGATTGAACTGCTTAATTAAAACAAGTAATAATAAACTTAATGGACGGTGAACCCAAGAAAGTAACTATACACGTCTAAGATGTATGGAATTATTAAGTGAGTTCTTTATATTCGTATAATGTGGTACCGTATATTAAGTCATAAGGATAAGAGACACAGTTGCCTTTGATGATATGATATGTTAATCAACTGGCCGATAAGTGGTCATTCATTTTTCATCACTTCAACAAAGTAAGTTTTGCTTTGACCCTCCCTTCCCCAAAATAGTAAATAATAAAATGACGATTTTTTTTTTTCATTTTGAAATAATCTTCCCTTTTCATTTTTATAAGATACATACATTGGTGACATCCTCCACAAGCGCATGTTTGTACTCTCCTGAAAATATTGAACAAAATGAATGGCCTCTTAAATGTATCAATTACATCTTTGACGAGAAATAATACGTTATCAAATAGGTTTTTCTATATAGAAAAAAATAACTTCATCGCCAGTCAAAAAGCTTGTGTGTATACCTGCAAATATCTACATAATAATGATGTTACGTTTACGATTAATAAAATATTGAAGCCGTTAATATACGCCTAAAATAATCAAAAATATTATGAGGAAAAATAATTACATTATATTGTGTGAACCCTGAAAAACAACAATGAATAATAAAACTAAAAATTCATATTAACCGTAAGCGTATTTAAAGATAGTAAACCTATGTAAATTCTGTAATATTTTCCCGTTCAAAATATCATCGGAATATGCCACAAAAGCTACAAATCCTAAACAACATCAATTTTATTCCATCGAATTAATTATCTCACCATCCGATGACGTCAGATATGGTTTTAAAAAGTTAAACAACTCATTTACTACATTATTAACATAAACGAAATCTAATGGGCACCATATGTAGTCTTTGTAGTTATCTAGTAGAATCTTGGAACTAGTCCACACTTTGACCTATAATCATTGAACAATAAATACATGTACTAATTATGGAATCATCAATAATCTCCTGAAAGAAAACGTAAACACTGTAACAATTCGCCACACACCTGTTCAATAGACTATCGACGAAAAAATTCTTCTTTAAGTCGTCCAAACTTCATAAACAGACGGAACGTTTCGGTCAAGAAATTACCCGCGATGAAATCCAGCCTATGGTAATAATCCGACAGCGAAGAAAATGTCCCCTTGTTTAAATACCGAATTATAAAGTTATCTGGAACTGAAATAGGCCCATTACACAATCGAGAGATAAGAAACTATGTCCACGCGTAAGTATTGACTTTAAAAGACTGAAGTCCTAAGATTACGGTCGTATTTCAAAAGCATCACTCGCACTTCACATCTCTTGACACTTCAGGCGGAGCACATACGAATATTCATCCGCGTTGTTCAGCTGTCACTCCTCACAGGGTAGAGCAGAAGTCACTGACTGGACGAAAGGAAACGCCTCTAACTGAATATTCATAAGCTTATTTTGTAAATTTACTTTATTCTGTTGATAATTTCGATTAATATTCTTTAATACGCAAAGAACGCATTTTATCACTGTTTTAAAATTACATTACATACATCAGTTATTGTTTGTATGTCTATTCTACGTTAGAAAAGGCTGTAAACCAAATATTTGTAAAGAATATGCATATTAATTACAAATCAAAGTATTGTAAATAGTACAAGAGATCATAAATTATATTCTTGTGGTCATGTTTGTATATCTTATTATTTCTATCACTTTCACTTCGATGATAACAAAAGGCCTCAAAACAATTTGCCGCTTTTTTGCAGATAGTTCTCATTACAGTATAATGGAATACACAAAACAATCTATCGTTATAAATGTATGTATTCCTAAACTATTAAGGTATATATTCGTATATTTTACCTGATAAATGAAGCGATTTACCGGTGAAAAAATACTCTAAAAAACATTACTTATTGTACTAATTTTGTTTACATTTATTCTCCTTATGTGTAGCTTAGACATACCACCAATGCGATGATGTGATGGCTGACTATTAACGTATGGAATAAAGTAAACTAACACAACCGTACTTTTCTTATATTTTTTTTTGTTGGCCTCATACAATTTGAACAAAAGGAGAGGTAATTTCAAGGCTAACAAGTGAGCAAGTTCTCAGTGAAAACCTTGATGTGCTCATAAACGGTTCACGTAGCGATTTATACTATTGTCTTAGCGACACTATCATTTCCATTCTACTCAAATCTTTTATTTAAATATTAGTGTTTTAAACAAAACCAAGGGGAAGAGGTTTTTGAGTATACATGAATTTTGAAGGCCACATTTTCATAAAAATTAATTTGTATTATTGCTATTTTTAAATCGTTCTTTATTTGCATTAACAAAATCGTATGCATATTGAGTTCGAATTACCTAGATCCAAATTGCTGCTTCACGCTACAACATGTGTTTTGAAATGTTTATTGGTTTTTGTCGATGTTCGGCCAACTGGGATAGGTATATTCCTATGCTTTGATGTACGTTGGTCGTGTGTCTAATGAAATCGCAATCCGAAAATTATGTGATGTTAATTATAAATTGTTAATAGAATAGCGTTTCTCGGAAATTCAGTGAATACAGCTTTTAGATATTCATAATAATGAGCGTAGGTTTTTTTCTCATGTACAATTTCCAAGAAATATAAATTATAACCCTGCATTTTGCGAGAATGTTGTAATACATAATATACTAGGCCTACTAGCAATGTACTCTGTTTATAAAACAATATCTCCAATCGCAATAATTATATGGTTTTTATAATGGCAGGATACTTTAATTGCATTCTAGAATTCACAGGCTTAGCCTAAACTTAATACGGTAAGAAATTCGATAACAAATTCCTGGTTTAATGGAATGGCGGTTTTGGAAGAGAGTCGAAATTTACTGTTGTAACCACTGTGTGTGCGCTGAACCGTGGAGGTTCAAATCACATCGCTGCTTTCTGATCCTAGAGTTCCATCTGGAGGACTGAAATACAAGTTACAATAGCGCACCGTCTTTCGGATGAGACGTTTAAGCCGTTGGTCCACTGTGCAATATAGCCCATGTGCACGCGTTAAAGAACGCAGTACACTCTTCGGAAAGGAGTAGGGGATTGTCCCCCGGTGTACTGCCCCATTCACCACCAACGGGACTCCCATTGGAAATAAATTTCAGGACTTTTGCTGGTTATGCTTGATGTGTGTCACAATGAAGAAATCCATTGATCACTTTAGTTTAAACTTTATTCGCATCAATTCTGCCCGATTTTTTATTTGTTGTCCTATTGTTTGAAAGTTACAACAATATGAAAAATTCATCAAATGACATGCTTGAACAAGGAACATGATATGTAAAAGAATATATTAATAATGATGATGACAATGAATAATATGACTATGATAAAGGTGATGACGAAGAAGATAATGATGATGGTAATGATGGTAATAAAGTTGATGATGACAATGATGATCATAATTATGTTGATGGTGACATTGATGATGATTATGATGATGATAATAATGATGATAATGATGTTGATGATGATGATGACATTGATAATGATGATGATGATGATGAAGATGGTGGTTATGATGATGATGAATATGATGATAGTGATAGCGCTGACAACCACTACCTCGATTTCATGTAAACATACCGGTATCTATTGTGAGTAACAATGCAACACTGTTTCCAATAACAGAAAAAAACTAATAACACTAATTACTAATGTACGTATCTCTTTTTCCGGTATCTTAATCCCAAGATCGATTGTCAACAAATTATTGACATTTTTGTTTTGTTGTCATCTCTATTTGTTTAAACATGATGGTTTAGTTAAAGATATTGTGTTAAGTAGACTTATCAATATTGTTCTAAACATTAAGCTGATGATTGCACACTCCATAGTATGTGTCCAAATACAAAGATTACGTAATCATTACATTGTATTGATTGGAGGAAAGTGTGGTAAGAACACGCCTTCGTTGACGGTCAGCAGGTCTAGCTAGTTTATTTAGGCAAATTAGTCTTTGTTTTTTCTCTAAGGAAGGCGCGTGCCAAACTACAAGCAAAGCCAAGTTTCAATTATGATCCCAAAAGAGCTTTGTGACGAAGACAAATCCACGGGCCAAGCACATTGTTCTCCTGCGGCCAGCTGTTGAGCGAAAACGCCGCCAGCTCTCGTCCAAGTGCCACAGAGGAGCGCGCGACTGTAAGGCCTCACAGCAAGTGATAGTGACACACTTAAAAGCAGTTGACAAGATAAAAAAAAAAGGGCATATTCATAGAACCAAGGTCAAATGCCTACCAGGTAGGCCTAGTGTGATGTGATGGACACTTGAAAGTCATCGGCCGGTTTTCGGACGATACTAATTGGACGATATCAACACACATGTTTCGATTGCAAATGACATTCTTCTTTAATAAAAAAAGAAATTATACAAACACTATAATAATGGTCTTTAATTTTATATATATTTACATAGGCCTATCGTTAATACAATAAGCTATATAAATGGAGCCCACGTTAAATGTTTTGTATTAAGAATCTCAATTATAATACAAATAATATATATAATTCTTCATAAAAGCAAAATGCCATACCTGTATTTTATAAACTTGAGAATGAAAAAATAAAAAGAGTATGCATATTTAATTTTAAGTGCTCTACTAGAGTTCACTGGGGTACAGTTAATATTAAAATTATATGTATATATTCATCCATGTATATACCGTATTTATTCGAATAAATGTCCCAAGCCGTCTATTATTGAGAAGGGTTTTGAGGGGGCGTTTAGTTTAGGAAGAGGTTTTTTTTTTTTTGGTGTAAAATGAATACATAGGCCTATATGCTCAAATAATTTCAATCTAATTGCGGAACTACAACACATATATTACTGTCGAAATGTGGTTATTGCTTGGTCATAAAGATTTATTGGAGGGCGACTATTCGAAAAAAACGATGGTTTATATATATATATATATATATATATCTTTCCTTGATGATTTATATAGGCATATATATATATATCTTTCCTTGATGATTTATATAGGCATATATATATATATATGTATATATATATATATATATATATACGTTTTTATTAAGTTCATAAACATTGAAGAAAGAGATATTTTCAGTTTGTTTAATGTACAATAGGCCTGTGCAAAGCTACCAAAATGTATCGTAGCGTCAAGCGCCAAGTGTTGAATATGGCCTGGAGAATTAAGTCTTTTTCTAGTTCTATATCACATCATTTCTTTAATTATTATTCTGTCGACGATGAAATGGCATAACAATGCGAACTGTTTCAAGCATGCGCTTCGTACACGGCAAACATGTAGACGTAATTGCATACGATACGTGATCATTTATATCGACGTAAAGGGATATCCTGATTTTGTATGCGCTCAACATCCATGGTAATCTGATTTTGTATAGTCTTTGTGAGCTGTCGCACTTTTTCTGTTTCATCTGTTACGCTTGCTAATCATTTACATTATGTAACTGATAATTACTACAGCTTGCCAAATAATGACAATGTATGTGGTTGACTGTGTTTCGGCGCACGTGCGACGTAGCGCAACAAGTCATAAAAAGTAGCTTAATCCAGGTATTGTTATGGTAAATGATCGCCAGAGAGAGGACGAGGCCTGGCGCTGATGAATTTTCCTATAGGGGCTCTCTAGCAACCTGATTTTACAGTCGCACCTACAGGGCATGTCATTATGAAAGCGAGTGTGTAATGTATAAATGTATAAATGAACTATTTGTATATACTGTACTATGAACCAACATACCGCGACGGTAGGGCGATTAGACTTTCCGGATTGTCAAGGAAACTTGGCAACTGACCAATCAGAACAGGGCCAGAAATACGCGTATGTCCCACAAAAAACGTGCTGTCCCATAAACGCACGTGTTTATGTAAGTTTACGCTACCGCTGTGATACTGCACCTTTAGCAACAATAGCCAAGGGAATATGGCTACATTGTATAGTCGTCCTCTCCTTTATGTTTTCTTCTTTTTTTTTTTAAACTTGGTCCGTAGAAATGAATGAAAGATCATTACTATTCCCATACAATGACATGCAATGAAGGAGCAGTTTTAATACTCTTCTTACCCTAGCACTCGAAGTATGGACGCGCTCATTTCCGGGTCTTCACTTAAATCGATTCGTACATCGGCGTGTTGTCTTAGTTTTCTCATTCCTATGCTTTGTTTGTATTTTTGTTACTGGAGGTATTATTAGTTGAGAAGGGAAATATGCGACACATGAATTATGTATTACCCTAAACTAATAGCA